TGCAGGATAAAATCAAAGGTAGTGATTTTAGCTTAGATCAAGTTTTCGGGTCACTCTATGGGTCTGGGTCCAGAGGAAGTGTGGCGAGTCACGGACAGGAACTGAGCATAGAGAAGATGAAGACATCTCTGTTTTGTGCAGACATTGATGAAAATATGGGCATAATACCTAACAGTAGAATGAAAACAACCTGGTTTAAAAGAACCTGCAGGCTTATTGTACATCATAAGAAGTACGAAGGGCTAGGGAAAAAGTAAAAAAAAAAAACACTAATGGCAGGTTTTAATGTGGCTGTTGCTGGGACTGGATGGGATTATGAAACTGGAAATACGCAATGTGTTGAGAATACTCTGTTCTAAGTGTGCTGGATAGCTCACAGTTCCCAAGTGGGATCATTGGTGCTGGCTTTTTTCTATTTTTTAAATAATTTTTTTTATTTATCTTTTTACACATGTTACTTTCATTTCCCTCTCCCTCCCCTCCTCCCCCTGGCCCTCCAATCCTCCCAATCCCCCACCCCACCCTATCTCTGCTCCACTACCCAGGGAGGGTAATCCATGAGGGATTTTCGGAGTCTGTCATATCATCCTGGGCAGGGCCTAGGTCCTCCCCCATGTGTCCAGGCTGAGAGAGCATCCCTCCATGTGGAATGGGCTCCCAGAGTCTATTTGTATGCCAGGAACAAATACCGATCTACTCTCCAAGGTTGTATAGATTGCCGAGGCCTCTTTGACACCCGGGTTGCGGGGGTGGGGGCGGTGTCTGGATCAGTCCCATACTGGCCTCTCAGTCATCAGTCTGGGGTCCATGCGTTCCCCCTTGTTTAGGTCAACTGCCCCTGTGGGTTTTGCCAGCCTGATCTTGATTCCTTTGCTCATCACTCCTCTTTGCAACTGGGTTCCAGGAGTTTAGTTGGGATTTTAGCTGTGGACATCTGCCTCAGCTTCCCTATAAGGTAGTCATCAATCTTATTATCATGGGAGGGCATTTAAGGTAGCTTTAATGCCAGTTGGTGTCATTCTTGTAGATCTGTGAAGATCTCACTAGTGCCAGGTCTGTCCTCCAACTTACAATAGCTTCTGCTTTATGGTATCTCTCATCCTTCTCTCTTCTGTTCTTACCCTGGCTCAACCTTCCTGATGCCCCGTGCCCTTTTCTATTTTATTTTATTATTCAAAGCAATGTTTAAATTTAAATATCTTTGATCTTATTTTATCCCTTCCACAAATCTTTCTAGATCTGCTCCCTCTATCAACCCAATTTTAATTTTTTTCAAAAACCCAATACAAGCACAAAACTCCCCCAAACCAAGAAAAGAAAAAAATGACAAATAAAACAAACAAGCAAAACCCCCACCAAATTGTAAACAAATGAAAGTACATGTACAAAAAAACCGAGAAATCCATTATATGTTGGTCATTTTCTCCTTAACATGATGGTTACCCTGGGATGATTGACATACCTAGTGTCACTCCATTGTAGAAAACTGATTTTTCCATATGGTAACAGTTATAAATGACAGGTTGGTTATTATTCTTTACTGCAATGGTTATGTACTCTTCCATTCATTCATTTTAAAATATAAAACAAACTATAAAATAAATAAGATAAATCAAAAACTATCAAATTGAAGTTGCACAAATGAAAGTAATAGAAGGAAAAGTGTCCCAGGAGAAGGCACAAGACCCACTCATTTGCACTTCAGGAATACCATAAAAACACTAAGCTGGAAGTCATAACATATACACAGAAGACCTGGTACAGACCTGTGAAGGCCCTGTGCATGCTTCTTCAGTCTCTGTGAGTTCTAATGAGCTTTGATCATGTTCATTTAGAGGGCATTGTTTTCTTGGTGTTCTCTATCCTCTTTGGTTCTAATACTCATTTTGCCTTCTCTTCTGCAGGTTTCCTTGAGCTCTGAGGGGAGGGATTTGATGGAGATATCCATTTATGGTGGAGTGTATCAAGGTCACTCACTCTGCTCAATGCCTGACTGTTGGTTTCTATATTTTTCCCATCTGCTACAGTAGGATTCTTCTATGATGATAGCTGAACAAAGCACTGTTATATGAGTATAGAAGAATATTAGGAGTAATTTAATCACACTTTTTCCCCTTAGTTGACTGGTAATATTTAGTTTTACCCTAGGTCCCTGGACTATATAATCTCAAGTTCTTGGTTACTTAAGCAGAGTTGGTCTTAAGTCAAATCAGTTATTGGTTGGTCACTCTCTCAAGCATTGTGTCACCATTGCACTAGCCTATCATACAGGCAGTACACTATTGTAGATAAAAGGTTTGTGGCTAACTTATGTTTATATTTCTCTTTTGAGAGCATGCAGAGTATGTTTCTGTACCAAAGATGCATGAACATAATGTTGAAAGATCTAGGTAGGCACTAGCTCAGTCTTTCCATGTTCAATGAGTTGTGTAGGTATTAACTTTAGCAATGTGGACATGCTATCATTTCGTTGAGCTCAATCCAATTTATAGTCTTGCCAATAACCTGGGTTGTTGGGCAACTCCCTTGGAGCTCCTTTGATCAAAAACTGAATCAGATATAACTCAATCTAACTGATACTGGAACTGTCTTTTGTGACAACACATGGACAGCTGGGGCTATCTCCTCCATATTATTTGGGATTTCAATTAGATTGTCTTCACATATGTATATATTTATAACATTTCTACTCTACTAGGTTTACACATTATTCTTCAAATGGGCTGTAATATTAGTTGTCTCTCCTTGTATTCTCTTCTAAAACTTCTTTCTCCTTCTTTTCTTATTTGATCTTCCCACTCCATCACCTCCCCTTCCATTCGTTTCTATCCATTCTATTTATTCTATTTCCCTCTAGCTCCTTATCCTATACCTGCCCTCTGTGGTTTTGTGGGTTATTGGTTAGTTATCATTGACTTAATACACAATAACCACATATAAGTGAATATATGCCATATTTGCTTTTCTGAATCAGGGATACCTCACTCAAGGTAATTTTTTCCATTTTCATCCATTTACCTTCACATGGCATGATGTAATTTTTTAACATGGTAGTAATACTCATGTGTAAATGTGTTACATTTTCTCTATCATTATTCTGGTAAGAGACATCTAGATTATTTCCAATTTCTGGCTATTATGGGTGAATATAGCAACAATGAACATGGTTGAACAAGGGACTCTGATAAGCATGAAAAATTATTTGGATATATGCCCAATATACACAAGTGGTATAGTTGAATCTTGAGGTAGATTAATTCTCATCTTTCTGAGATAACTGATTTCCATCATGGAAAGTTTTCTGATATTGTTTTTTTAACCTCCATAGTAAAACTTTCCAAATCTTGTTCAGTGAAAGAGTACTTTGTTGTATTACACAATTATTTCCTAGGTAGCTTTTATAAAATAAGTGAGAAATTGTCATGTCTAATGTTTGTTTGTATTTGTATACTTTCCTCTGTGGTTGAACTATAGAACATGTTTAGAAAGACTCAAAAGTTCTTGTCTCAAAAGTTTCCATTGTGATCTTGTGGAGATTAGAATTTGCTCTAAAATAGAAAACTTTGCCTTTATTGCAAACCTGCTGATGGAACATCTCTCTATCCTCACCCCACTCTGGTATCCCTGGTAGATTACATCCCAGTCCTTGAAGGTTTGGAGGTTTTAGATACATTAGAGTTTCTACTATGGTATACTGATTTTTTTCTGATATATCCCAAACATCTCTACATGTCATCAAATAGTCAGGGTCTATTTTACATGTTTGGCTTCCTTAATATCTCTTCTTCTGTTTATTTTTCATTTTGTATGTGTTCATACACACAAACAAACACCCAAATACACAAGGGCCTGATAATCTTTTTTTTATTTAACTTTTTACACATGTCATTTTCAGTTCCCTCTCCCTCCCCTCCTCTCCGACCCCCCCAATCCTCTCAACCCTTCACCCCCACTCCGTCACCCCTCTCCTCCCCAGGGAGGGAAAGGGCCTCCATGAGGGACTTTCAGAGTCTGTCACATCATCCTGGGAAGGGCCCAGGTTCTTCCCCATGTGTCCAAGCTGAGAGAGCATCCCTCCACGTGGTATGGGTTCTCAGAGTCCTTCTGTATGCCAGGAATAAATTCTGTTCCCCTCTCCAAGGACCCACAGATTGCCAAGGCCTCCTCTCTGTCACCAATCACTTGTTTTTCAAGTTAAATGATATGAAAGAAAAGGGTTGAAGTATATATAACTTCTGAGTGTCTAAGAAAATACTCTAAATTATATAAATACATGTTGTAAAGGTTTAAGGAAATCATTTAAGGTATGTGAAAACTGAAAAACTTTATAAAATTTTTCCCTCTCTATGCTATTGTTGGATTAATTCTTCAAAAATTCAGAGTTTTAACATTAATCAACAAAGTTCTACTAACCGTAATGATACACTGACTCCTATGATTATAGCTGATGATCTCAGCATTTTTAATTTCCTATGTTGCTTTGTAAGTATAGACTTGAAAGTGCTTTTCATTGTCCTAAAACCATCTCTGTCCAATCTATTTATCCAGGCCTCCAGCCAGGGGGAAAAGAGCATTAATACTTTTAAACTAGAGTAATTTTTTGGCTCCCCAAGCTTTTACTATGACTCAAAGGTTTGAGTATAGTAATTTTTCTTCAATGTGGATTTCAGTATGGATTATAGACAATGGTGATACTAACATATCTAAAAGTTTAATCTTATTCTGTAAACTTTAACAATTCTTGTAACCTTCATGGAGTTGTGAGACTTGGATATGCTTCAAATAGGTCAAAAGAGCTCCATATAAGTACTCCTGTCAATCAACAGTATACGCTTTCCCCCATACTGCCTATCTCTGAGGGTGGACTCCTGCTTTCCCTGGTCTTGAGCCTTTTCTCATTCCCCATTCCCCAACTATCAGGACCATGGGCCTAAAAGTTTTAAGTGTGTACTCAAGATAAATTTTCCTCTAAGCTCCTTAACTATTCCTTTTGTCCATAGTCTTCATCTGTCCTCTCAGATCTCCAATCAACTGAAGACTGAAATCTGTTCCAAATGTGCCTTCCCTGGGTGCTTCTGATGGGATTTATGACTAGCCTGAGCCTCCGTGTCCCAGTCTGCTACAAATCAGCTAGCCACAGATGGTCCTTCAGAACCTGGTCAGTGAACAAAACATATGTACCTGAGCTTTCACTTCTCTCTCACTTCCTAGCTTTGACCAACATTTCAACCTTCTCCGCCCCAAGTACAACAGGAAGCAGTTACAGAACATGTTGTGTCACTCTTTATCATCTGAAAAAATAATGTTTGAAGTATCAGGTCTCCAAGAAACATGGAAAGCATATTTAATAATTATTTGAACCATTTTGCCCTTGGAGACTTTGTTTACTTACTCAACAATGAAGTCTGCAGAATGTAGGTTTGGCTATTGTGCAGAGCTGTTTAACATCTAAAAATAGATGAGGTTTTATTTGGAATTTAAGATAAAAATTGCAAAGTTTTAAGAAGCAAGTATGTCACAAACATTATTTGTTTACATACAATTAAAATATAACTAGTTATATTAAAATCTATCTATCATCACAATCATCATCAATCAACCATCTAAGTAACATATTGGGTCCAGTTAATATTTGCATGCATTTAATACTGACCACTGAGAATTGAGATCTCATCCCTGAAAAATAAAAGAAAAGTGACAAAAACAATACACAATGACTGTCTGTAGCTCTTCATTTAGGAGTGAAGCTTTGGTTAAATTTTTCTTCATCCATTTTGTCATGTCTATCTGGTATGGTATTGCCGGTCTATACAGGCAGTCTTTTTGCTGAAAGTTCAAGGAAGTAATATCCCAGTCCTGTCCAGAAAATCCTGTATCACACAAGTCATTGCATTCCTTAGGCTAATACAACTTTTCTAGCCCCCTTTCTGCAACTATCCGCAAGCACAAGATAAAAGTGTTGAGCCGTGGGTATCTCACTTGGGGCTAGACAACTAACAGTCTTTTTCAGACATTTTGTCCAACTGTTGACCCAATAGACTTAGTCTGCTATAAAAAGAAGGTGCTTTGGTGAGATGAGAGATCAGCACATATCTATGAGTATAAGGATGACTACTTAGAAGGTATTTGGAATTCATATAATTTAGTAATTTGCCAGTAGGTTCTACATTATGGCCTATGACATCTCCACCCATAGGTTTTAGGATAGGCTTACAGTACCAGGCATGAGTCCCAGCCTATTGATCTAACTTTAGCTCAGATTAGACAGTTGTTATTTGTTCTCTACATAAGTAATGCTATTGCACTCTTGGGGGAGTATCTGGCTCTTTCCATCATTGTTTCCATTTTCAGGCTTACCAGCTGGATGAAATATTGATAACATTTCTTACTTGGTAACTTACATAGCACCTTCTGATATTCTGTTACTATTATTCAAATAGACTAATGCATAAACTCCATTGAAATTTTAATAGTTAGAAGACGAATACAAGTATAAAATTCTAAATATAAAAATACTAGAATCTGAGATGACTCATGAGGTAAAAGTGCTTACCATACGTATGTGACTACCTGAGATAGATACTCAGAACTAATGGTGGAAAAAGAAATGCAACTCTATAAAATTGCCCTCTGACCTCCATACCTACAGACAGACAGACAGACAGACAGACAGACAGACAGAGACACACACACACACACACACACACACACTAATGTTTAGGAAAATTCAATTTTAAAGGTTATGTTCTCATTTCACAAGAACAGTGAAAGACATATTGTAATGTACATTCTTCCCACCAGTCGTCTGGGATATATCAGTTCCAAATGAACACTCAGGACACTACATTAATTATGAAGCTATTGACCTTTTGCTATGGTTTCTTAATGGCTAGCTCTGACTTAATTATTAACCTATAATTACTAATATATGTATATATATATTTATAAGGACTTATCTTTCTGAGGACATCCTCCTGATGTGTCCTCTCCTCCGAGGAGATCACATGGTGACTCCCTACTCTTGACGACATTTTCCAGAATCCTCCTCGACTCCTACTCTCACCTATTTTGCTTCCCTATTGGCCAACAGTGCTTTATTATCAACTAATAAGAGAGACATATTTACAGAATGGTATCTCCCATGAACATATTATACCATTCCAAGCAAAAATACTTCAAGAATTAAAAAATACAAGTGAAAGAAAGACTGGACAGAGAAGAAACTCTAAGATCAGATAACAGAAGTGAAAATGAAAAGCTAAAATTTTAAGGGAAAAATAAAACTATGGAAAAAATAAAATGCATATAGAAGGTAAAGTTTTTCAAAGAAAATAAGTTATAAGGGGTACTATAGCAATAAATTTAAAAAAGTATTATTCCTAGAAATAATATTCATCAAAATATATACTTCCAATGGTTTCTATTGATGCAATGAAACATCATGTAAAAAAGCAAGTTGTGAAGAAAATGGTTCATGAAGTTTAAACTTCCCAATCATAGGCCATCATTACAGGAAGTCAGAACAGGAATGTAACAGGACTGTAACCTGAAAGTAGGAGCTGATGTAGAGGCCATGGATGGGAGCTGCTTATTGGCTTGCTTTACATGGCTTTCTCAGCCTACATTTTTATAGAATCCAAGATCATCTGCCCAGGGATGGCACTACCCATCATGGTCTGGGCCCTACTCCATTGATGAGTAATTGAGAAAATGCTTTATACCTGGATCTCGTGTAGGCATTTCCATAACTGAGTCTCCTTTCCCTCTGATAACTCTAGCTTGTGTCAAGTTAACACACAAAAAAAGCCAGTACAACTGACCCCTGTCAACTTGACACACAAACACTTTACTACTAAGCCACAACCCTTCTATCTTATTTTGGGTTTCTATTTCTGTAGAGAAGCCATGGTTAAGCCTTATAAATGAAAAACAGGTAATTGGGTGGCTTATATTTCCATAGGTTTATTGCATTATTATCATGGTGAGACATGGTTACCTGTAGGCAAACATGGTTCTGAAGAAGTAGCCAAATGTACTCCATCTTAACATGCACACAACTGGAAGTGGTTTGAGGATTTGCTGTGGCTAGAACATTTATGAAACTTCAAATCTCACCTCCACAGTGACACACTTCCTCCAAAATTTCTGCACCTACCACAACCAGGCCTCCCCTCCCAATAATGCCACTGCCTTTAGGAGCCATTTTCTTTCAAAGGACCACATTCTACTCCCTGACCCCCCAAGACTTGTAACTAAGTCATAATGTAAAAATGCATTCATTCCAACTTTAATGCAGATTTTGTAGTTTGCTAACCTGGTTTTCAGTTTTGCTTTAGTCGAGTAGTTCCTCCACATGTTCTCTTTCCTATGTTTCTGTGAAGAAACAACAAATCTTATAAAAGGAAAAATTTTAATTGGGGTGGTTTACATTTTTAGAAGTTTAGTGCACTGTAGTCATGATGAGATATGGTGGCATGCAGGCAAACATGCTTCTCAGAAGTAGCTGAGTGTTCTACATCTTAATTTGCGTGTGACAGGAAGTGGTCTGAGACACCTGATGTGTCTTGAGCATTTATGAGACCTCAACACCCCCCCCTATAGTGACTCTATTCCTCCAGCATGGCCACACACACTCCAATACAGTCACACTTCCTAATAATGCCACTCCCTTTGGGGGCTATAATTTTTCAATCCACAACAATACATAAGGGAAGAAAACTTTCATAATAAAATAATGATCAGATATAAAAGATAAACATTGCTTTAAAAACACACATTTTCCAATGAATTTGATGTCACAGACGGACAGAATAAAATTTCCTTTATGTAACTAAGATATGTCTAAATGTGCACATTATTTAATGATATATGCAACAATTCTATTTTAATACAGTAAGTTAAAAGGATATGATATTACTCCTTGAAGGTTCATATGGATGATTCAGTAGTAAACATATTGAAAGATATATGCAAAGGTACTCCAATTCCCTGTATTCCAGAAAGCTAATATAATGTAAAAATACAAAACAAAGCAAAGAAACAAACAAACCAAACCAAACCTGAATACAGATCAGCTGTGGCCAGGAATAAAGAATAAAAATCTTAATTCAAAGACTGATTCATAAAAGAAAATGCTATCAAAATAATTTTAGAGAATTATCAAGTATTTAATTCTCAGTATTCACATTTGACTCAAGTATATAGATTGCATCATAGGAAAAGTCATAACATATAGTACAAAAATCTCCAATTGATGAAATTGCAGAAAACAGTGGGTCGTTTGTTGCCTCAATTTGCTGCGAGGTTGAATCTCTCAGAAGTGGCAGAGAACCTGTGAAGTCTCGTCAACATGACTGCTTAAATAAGGCCTAAACAATACAAACAGATATACTATTAATTCCTTTCCTTATCCTCTTCCTTTTATGTTTTACAATTTTAATGTAATATATTTTTATAATATTCTTTCATGTCACCAAATTCCTTAAACACTTTCCCCAGCCAACTTAGTAAGAAACCATGAAACAAAATTTGAAAAATTTGAAGAGTAGTTGATATATTGTCACTCAATTGGAGAAAACTGATTTTCACTTTCCCAGAAGATATCAATTACAAACATTTTTTTGATTATGGGTGGGACTTTATGCTCAGTTCCCCTTCTTAGTGTTAGAAATTTTGTCTAGTTTGAGCCTGTACAAGCCTTTTGATCAGTCTCTGCAAGTTCATATGTATATCAGTATGTCTGGAAGATGAGGTTTCGAGGATCTTATGGTCTTCCCACCTCTTTCTCTGCACAGATCCCTAAGCTTTCAAGGGAGAGCTTCATAATGACATCCTGTTAGCACCAAGTACCCCATGGTTTTTCACTCTGTACACTGTTCTGTGTCTCTGTGTCAATTTCCAGCTACTTTCAGAAAAAATTCCTTTGGTGAGTTTTGAGAGATGCAATGAGTACAACAATATATCATTAGGAGTCATTTTATTGCTATGTTCCCTTAGAAGAATAATGGCAGTAGGGTTTCCTCTAGGGCCATGACCTAGCTAGTCTCAGGTTCATTACATATCATTGTGTGGGCCAAGCAATTAAATCAGGAAGTACTTGGTTACTCCTATTACATTTGTGCCGATGTTACACCAGCAGACTTTTCAGACTGGATTCTG